GGTTGATAGGTGGTTTTCTGGTGACCCTCTTTAATTTCAACTTTTCAAGACGTAAATGTACTCATTTGTTTCTTTCCATGGACATAAGTAAGCGTGTGTGTTCTGTAATCTAGACATGTAAAATAAGTATGTATGAATTGAGGTCGACATTATTTATATTTGTTTTTACTTTGTAGTGTGAGAAGTTATGGAGAAATTTATTACTCCCTTTATCTCAATTTATATGACTTACTTTTCTTTTTGATCAGTCTCAAAAAGAATAACACATTTTTATATTAAATAACAATTTAATTAAAAAATATCTATTGTACCCTCAATGAAATGATTTACAGCCACACAAATTTTTATCATTCATTTTAAACCACAAATTTTAAAAGTCTTCCTTTCTTTCTTAAACTCCGTGCCGAGTCAAACTACCTCACATAAAATGGGACGGAGGGAGTACCTTTTTTTACGAATCATATGTTAGTTAATATGTATTAGTAAAATCCTTAGTACAACAATCTTGCAGAAATGAGTAACAACAAAGTTTAAAGCATGTTTTCAAAACAAGAAATTAAAACCAGTAAAGAAAAACAGGATGTAACAGTAAACAGAAACATTATTAATGAAAAGAAGAAGATCGAGTTGAATTCACACTGTGTCTTTAAGGAAATTATTTCCCTCATGTATCCGAGGCTAAATGAATATATTCGCCATGATAGAATAATTTTACTCATCAGTGTATCGATACCAAAAAATGAGTGACTTTACTCAACCGTATATCAGTACCAAAATAATAGTGTCAGCGAACCATTCAATGGAGCAAAAAGTACACTAGATTTATTTATGGAGAAGAAGAAAACGTTCAGAAATTGAACAGTCATCTAATAAACGACGGAAAATTTAAATGAATCTGGTTCAGAGACTGTGTTTATCCGGTTCGAAAACATAACTTTTGTTATTATGTTATACTACTACTATACTAGTTACTAGTTAATAATGATTTAAATTAAATTTGTAACTTTTTTTTTTGTATTCTTCATTTATTGCGATTTATTTAAAAAGTTGGTGTCCTAACCTAACAAATAATAGGGAAAAAAGCAGCCACTTGACTTAAATTATTGTTAGATCTTATGTTATGTACAAAAAACTCCATTTAATTTAAAATAATTCTTATAAATTTTCAAGAATTGATTTGAGAAAATGGTCAAATGCCCCCTAACCTATATTCGGATTTTAAACTACACACTTTAACTTTACGGGGATCCTATCACCCCCTTGAACTATTTAAGTTTGATATTATTACACCCCTAAAACGTCACAACCACATTTATGTTGGCTGGTGAAACCCAAGCGCTGACAGGTGGAAATTTTATTTAAAACTTTTTTTTTTTATTCTTTTTCCTTTTTGATTTATTGTCTAGTTAAAGGTCACAATTGCTTTACTCGGAAAATAAAAAAAATGACTGAGTTTTCAAAAAATCGATCAAACTTATGATTTAAGAGAAATCAAATTTCCAAAAGAACAGAGTCGCCACTTAATTTTTTAGTAAAACTCAAGAAAATACTTAAGGTTTTCAAAAGATTTAAACAGATAAAATCAATTGAAAAGGGGTTCGAGTTCAATGTACCTTCCGAGAATATGTTAGGCCCTCGGAATGCCCGCTAACTTGCGGTTGACCGGCGATTTGACTAAAAATAGCTTTGACTAATTTTGAAAGAATATTAGCTAAGTAAAAGAAATTCACCCTTTTTTATTTGTTTACTATTTTTTTATTTTTCATTTTTACACTTTTTTTTATTTTATTATTATTATATAATTATATTAAGGAAAATAGGACTAAGGGGGATTTTCCTAAGGGGAATAAATTAAGTGTCGACAAGACTAATATTAAAATAAGAATTAAATAATAATAATCGATAGAGCCGAATAATAGACAACCACATTGCTTTTTCCACACCGTTTATTCAAAATGATACAATTGATCTCTAATTTGACGTTTTTAATATATACTACGACAACCTAACTACTTTTTATTCATTATCATTAATAACAATATATAGCAATACTATGAGTCTATGATAAATCTGTAATATGTATTAAAAGTGAATTATATATGCAATATATATGTATTATAACTGCTTAAAATATATTATGCTTGTTTGATAAGAAATTGACACATTGTATTTTAAGTAGGGGTGTGCACTATTCGGATTAAACCGAATAACCAAACCAAATCAAACCGAATTTTTATTTGGATTGGTTTTTTGGTTTTTCGGATTGGTTTTGGATTAATAAATTACTTTGTTTGGTTTTTTGGTTTGGTTTTGGATTTTAAAAATAAAAACCGAAAAACCGAAAAAAACCAAATGTTTAGGCTTAGAATTAAGTTGGAGTTAACCACTTTTGTCCCTTTTTGGTTATTGCCTTTCATGATGATTACATTTATATTTTATGTTTGAATTACATCTATAATAGGTATACTTATAAGTATTGTGTTTTAAGTTTTACTTATAATTTATATTAGAAAGTATATTTAAGGGATTAAATATTATTACTTTGGTTATATATCTTATTAATTATTGACATAACCGAATAACCAAACCGAAAAAAAGCCGAACCGAATAGAGGAAAACCAAACCAAACCAAATTTATTTTGGATCGGATTGGGTTACATTTTTACAAAACCAAAAACCGAAAATCCAAACCGAATAGTGTAAAACCAAACCAAAAAACCGAATGCACACCCCTAATTTTAAGTGTATTAAAATATGTGATAAATGTATTATCCATCAATAAAACTTGTATTATACGTGTTTTATAAATTGTTCTCTGTAATATGTATTAAAACTGTATTATAAATATATTAAAAGTGATCAAGTGAAAAAAAAAATATTATTACTATAAATAGTAAATATTTTCTTAATATAATATATTCACGCAAGTTTCCAAAATTTTAACGGGTAGTATAATAATAATAATTAACAATGTGATTCAACTATTTTTATTGTTATACAAACGTAATTATTATGAATAGACCAGACGTGGGCCAAAACTAACATGTTAGGCCTGAAAATAATTGTTCTTTTGTCTGCAAGATTTTTTCATAATATATATAGCAATTAAGTCATAATACTTAACATAATTAGTCAAAATAAGAACACTTTAAAATATTTATTTAAAATGGCAGAATGACAATAATTTTATAAAATAATATGTATTCAGATTTTAGTATTTTAAATTAATTTTATTTCTGGAAAGAGTCCTATATTAGACCAAATTATATATCAATAACCGTTTAAAGTGAAAAAAATAAATTAAACCAATACCATTAACCATTTTTCATCACCATTCAGTTTCTTCCCCAACTTTCACGTTTCAAGTTTATCTTTCTTCAAAGTGCTAAATTGTTGTTCATCAAGAAATTTTCTTTATTGTTAAAAAAAATCTCTTTATTAATTCAAACAGATTTCTCGGTTGACAAGGTAATTTCCATTATCAATTTTTTTTATTTGATGTTTAAATCACCGATTCTATACATTACGGATTTCCAGTCGAATTTTCTAATTTTTTATGTGATTTTGTTTAAATATTCATCTTATATTTATTATTTTCAATTTTTTTCATTTTTTTTGTGATTTTCTTTTAATTTTTCAGATTTTGTAGATTCTAGAAATTCATATATATGTTTATTTTGTTTGATATTTAATACATTTTAAAATTTGATAATATCGAAATTTGCTTTTAGGGTTTTAGATTTTGGGGAAAGCATCTGATTGTCTATAATGACTGATTCAATCAGAATTACTAGAGGTATACCAAATAATATTCAAAATTTTAGGGATATTCCCTCATTTGATTTGTGTATTATCCAAGGGTTGCATTGTATTTCAATCTCAATTAGTATACCAACATGTTTGCATTTCCTTCTTAATTTGTATTCATCCTAACTGTATGCTAACAATTTTGTATTTTATTGAGTATTCTTTCTGTATTTCAATCTCAATTTATATGTGAACAAGTTTGTATTTCTCTTTTGTTTTGTATTCAGCCTAATTGTATTCCAACAAGTTTTGTATTTTATGTGCCTACTTTACCTTTTAAAGTCACTTTGTATTTCAAATGAAGAGAGTATTTAATTTCTTTTGTATTAACAACTTTATATTCAATCTCACTTTGTATTTATAACTTTGTATTTTCATCTCACTTTTGTATTCATTTATTGTTGTATTCAACATATAATTCATGATCGATTAGTTACATTAACTTAATGGGATACAAATTATTGTATGCATTCAAACAGAAAAAACAGCTACTAAACTAAATAAATAAAATAATTTCATTCGTTATACATCATAATTTGGATACAAAACATCCGAAAAAAGCTATAAATCCCAATGCATACAAAGATTTTACTGATTCAATCAGAAAAAAAACAACACTCTTGTACTCGACATATAAAAAATAAAAAAATAAAAAAAAATACCTGCTTGTTTTTTTGATTGTTCACTGGATGCGGCAAATTTATAGTTGTCAATTTTGAAAAATTCTGTTTAAAAAATATGTCGTATTCAACTTGAAGAAGTTTTGAAAGTTATCAGATGAATGATTCGGAAGACATACTAAATTATTTTAATTTTTTTTTTATGTTCTTAAGAAGAAAGCAAAAAAACGCTCGACGGAAAGATGGCTATTTATGCTCTTTTCAAAACGTAACTGATTTGTATTTAAAATCTTTTTTACCTCTTTTGATTTTTTTTGCTCCATGATTTTCTCTGTTCTGTTATTAATTATTTGTATTCTTTCAAATTAATCAAAATAAAATAAATACATAACTAATCCCTTAACAAACTAAAATAATGACATTTTTAATAAATAATAAAACTGTTGCTAAGGACTCCCACTAAAAGCTAAAACATTGCTCTTTTGAAAAATTTCCCTATATTAGTGTCCTACTTCTAAGAACTTTTGAAACACTTTCATCACCTCATTATTTTGTGAATTCCACTCAACTCCAATGGTGCTACCTGTCGTTGTGTTTGTACTAATGCTACTCTTAACTGATGTAGTCTCAACGCACTTCATCGTTGAGACTCTTCCTGGATTTGATGGACAACTTCCATTTAAACTTGAAACAGGGTAAGTACATACATATTTTATCTTTCCATATATAATTAAATAGTTACTAATTTGTATATTTTCATGATTAGTTATATTGGTGTTGGAGAAGAGGAAAAATTGCAGTTATTTTACTTTTTTGTAGAATCTGAGAGGGACCCACAAAATGATCCTCTCATGATTTGGCTCACTGGAGGTCCTGGTTGCTCTGGTCTATCTACCTTTCTATATGAATTTGGTAAGTCAATTTTAATTCTGTTAACTTTAAATAATTCACTTATTTTTGTCTGTGTATAAATTGTCGCTTTTATAAGTATCTAATGATACAATGTTTTCATAAATATAAATAATTTGTCATTTGACAAAACGTCCCTTATTCATAAATCGATAGTGTATTCAACTTTTAGTATGCGATACCATGGACATATGATTAATTATCATTTAGGATGTGTTATGTAAGATGAAAAATATTTTTTAAGAAAATGATTTCTAGGGGAAAAAACGAAGGTTTTTTTTTATACTTATTTTCTTGTGTTTGATAAATAAGAAAAAAGTTATTATCTTGGAAGGATTTATATATAATCCCCAAGTAAAATCTGCAGGTAATTTACAGTTTTCTTAGTAGAGCGTGTATATAAGGGAGAGTTGTTCTCCATTTATCTTTTAATCAAACTTTGGAATAATGCTTGTTTCAGGCCCTTTAACCTTTGATTATGCAAATTCTAGTGGAAATTTCCCTAAATTGGAGTTGAACTTACATTCTTGGACCAAGGTTTTGTAAGCTTACTCTTTTTAATTATAATTTGCTTATTGTTCGATCGTCTATTAATACAATGTGGTTTTGATTACTAGGTGGCAAACATAATATTTATAGACCAACCTGTTGGCACTGGATACTCATATGCAAAGACTTCAGAAGCTTATAACTCCAATGATACCCTCTCAGCAACTCTAACTTATGACTTCCTTAGAAAGGTGAGTGATTTGTTACATTATTTTTTTTGGATATGTTAATGTTAATGAACGAAATTGTTGTGTTGTAGTGGCTTATGGATCATCCCGAGTATCTCAAGAATCCACTATATGTTGGTGGTGAATCGTATGCAGGCATTTATATTCCATTGGTTACTCGCAAAATATATGATGGTATTGTATCTTGTAATACGTGAATTTAGAATTAGTGTTTTAGTATATATGTTATCATCGCGTTTTTCATAAGATTTTTCTTTCTCTCAAGGTGTTGAAGTTGGTGATGAGCCTCAAATGAATATCAAAGTATGAATTGAACTATACAACAATGCATTTAGTTGCTCATGATATTCTTTCTATTCTCATTTTTTATTTTAATTTGCTGAAATATAGGGATATATACAAGGCAATGCTCTAACAGATACATACATTGCCGTGAATAGTAGAGTCAAATATGCTTATCATATGGGACTTATTTCAGATAAGATCTACCAGGTATAACTCACACACTTCAACATGGTGTCAGAGCAAGCAGACAGATGGTCACATAGTTATTATACTAACAAAGTAAACTTGTTCCTTTGTGTAGTCCGCTAAAGCAAATTGCAATGGGAATTACGTTGACATTGATCCGAATAACATATTATGTCTAAATAATCTTCAGAAAGTAAAAAAGGTAAGGGATCATCAAATTTTGCACTCTTTTTAACTTCAATTATATACCTAATACTCCATATATCATTTAGTGTCTCAACAACATTCGAAGCCATCATATTTTAGAAAATTGGTGTGATCTTTCATTTTTAAGGAGCAATGTCCACTCAGGACCATGGTGTCGAGTAAGTCTCTGTTTCTCCCTTCATAGCATCATTTATTGTATCCATATATATATAATTGCATAGTTTACATTTTAAATCCAGGAAAATAATTACATATACTCAAAGATTTGGGCAAACGATAAAGCTGTCCAGAAAGCACTAAACGTCCGTGAGGTATATATATATATATGCAAATACATTTTCTATCCATATATATCTTATGCCTTTGAATGATATCGTCATGTAAATAAAACCAGGGAACAATATTGGAGTGGTTGCGATGCAATAACAGCATGAGATACAGCGCTCGTGAAAGTATGAATAGATCTGGGTCATATGTGTTTGATATCCAAACTTCAATTGATGATCATCGTCATCTCATTAGCAAATCCTGTCGAGCTCTAATTTATAGGTATTATCTCCTCTTCTTCTTCTTCGTGTTTAATTTTGTCCTTCTTAATAAAATTTTTACTTTGATAGTGGTGACCATGACATGACTATTTCTCATGTGAGCACTGAAGAATGGATAGACACTTTGAAATTGCCAATTGTAGATGATTGGGAGCCTTGGTTTGTTGAAGATCAAGTTGCAGGGTTGGTTCCTTTTTTCTAAGTTGTCCCGACTCTTCAAAAATGTTGTTACATCAGTGTGTCGAACACGTACACCTGATCCTGATGACATTTTTAAAGAGTCGGAGCAACATATATAGTCTTTTTTAACTCACATGTACCAATACTTTTCTAATAACTACTTTATTTATGTAGATACAAGGTGAAGTATCTACAAAATGATTATGAGTTGACATATGCAACTGTTAAGGTAACCAATATTCCCTATTGCAACAATCCTAAACCAATCTCATTGCATGACTAGAGAGGTGAAGCTACAATTTTAACCTGATCGATGGGTTCTGAATTTGATAACGATGATTTCAAATGTTATTAATTGAGTTCTAAACTTAATATATGTACATATTTAATAAAATTATTAATACTAGTACACTATTGGAGCAAAGGTTATAACTGGATTTGACTGAACCCGTACTCGGGCTTCTAGCTCCGCCCCTGATTGCATTTGCATCTTAATTGATTTACTTAGGGTGCGGGTCATACAGCTCCTGAATACAAGCCTCGACAATGCTTGCCTATGGTTGATAGGTGGTTTTCTGGTGACCCTCTTTAATTTCAACTTTTCAAGACGTAAATGTAATCATTTGTTTCTTTCCATCGACATAAGTAAGCGTGTGTGTTCTGTAATCTTGACATGTAAAATAAGTATGTATGAATTGAGGTTGACGTTTTTTATATTTGTTTTATGAGAAGTTATGGAGAAATTTATTACTCCCTTTATCTCAATTTATGTGACTTACTTTCCTTTTTGATCAGTCTAAAAAAGAATAACACATTTTTATATTAAATAACAATTTAATTACAAAATATCTATTGTACCCTCAATGAAATGATTTACAGCCACACAAATTTTTATCATTCATTTTAAACCACAAGTTTTAAAAGTGTTTGTTTCTTTCACCTTTTCCTCTAGTTTAGAATGACGATCTGATGTTCGAAAGATTCTCTTTAGTGATTGTTGTTTGTTATTGGCTATTGGACTGATGTTACTTCAGTGTGACGTGTGTTCTTAGTCGTTTCATTGAATCGGCATTTTATCTAGTTAAAGTTTGAAGATTCGCTGGCCTTATCTGAGGCACTGTTTTATTGTTCTTTTTTCTTGAGGCCGTGTCTTAAACATAGTTCATCTCTTTCGTCTCTTGAAGTGTTGAAATCTGAAGGTCTGCGTGTTTTGTGTTATTGTCTGAGGTTAACGTTCTGTTCTTGTCGTTTGTTGCTAGATAGTTGAAATCTTGATTTAGATTAGTTTGATATAAATAGTTCCGATTGAATTCGTATTATCTCTTTTGGGGTCTAGTCTATATAATTGTTTATTGTGTGGTGGCTATGTGAATCTACCCTCTCTTTGCCGCTGGTAAATAGGTTTGACATGAGATTTTGTTCTTGATGAGGATTAGTAATAGTTATATGGTATTGGAAAGTATTGCCTCCAGTTTGGATTAACCGTTTCGTTCGTCAATGGATCTTTTACTTCTCTAAACATTTTCATGCCTCCAAATGTTTAAATTCTTTCTAGTATCTCACTTATGCACAGGGAAGAGTTTAGTTAATTGACTTTTAGTTTGGTAGTTTAAATTTGCGTTAAATAGGCTTGCACTTTGTCTAAATTATCTCATTCCTTTTTTCTTTCCATGTATCCTTTGGGTTGTATTATATAGAATTAAGATATGCTTTATCACTAATTTCGGTCTTTTATTTTTCTTTGTTGTTTTCTATGTGTGAGCTCGATCTCCTCTCCTTGCATTTCGTTGATCGGGCCATTATGGCCCAATATCCTTTTGCTCATCGAGTCGCCCAGCAAGGAAATGAAATACGGTTTCTCAGAGTATAGACAGGGCTGGAGAATCGAATTCCCAGGTCCAAAGGAGATCTGAGTGGGGCTGTACACATGGAGTATACAGTCGTATACACTGATATACATGGAAAAAATATCGATATACAGGTTCAAAAAATGAAATTCAGGTTGCAGGGGTCAAAATAGACTATATACACTCGGTATGCAGTCCGATATACACGAAAACGGATCAAAATACGGCCTGTATACAGTGGTATACATAAAATGTATACACAGATTTCTTGAAGGAAAATGGGGCCAAAAGACCAAGGGAATTTCAGCAAGTCCAAGATTTGGGCCCAAATTTAATATTCCTCTCCTTGCTCTCATTTATTTTGTTATATTTGACTAACGTTTTGATTATTTTATGGTTTAACTTAATTAAATTTCCCAAGAATGGTCATTTCATTTTATTTTCAAATAAAAGTATATATATTTTATTGCTTAGTTTTTATTTTAATATTTGTCTTGTTGACATTTTATGATCCATTCCCCTTTAGAAAATTCTCCTTTAGCTCATTCCCCCTTAAGATAAATAAAAAAAAAATGATAAAAATAATAATAGTAATAAAAAATAAGTTAAAATAAATGAGCTCTTTTTACTTAATTTAATTTTTTTTTTTTAAATTAGTTAAAATAAATGAGTTCTTTTACTTTGTTAAACTTTCAAAATTAGTCAAAATCGCGAGTTCTTTACTTAGTCAAATTCTAAAAAAAATATTAGTTAAAATAAATGAATTCTTTTACTTAAGTTAAAATTTCAAAATTAGTCAAAATCATTTAGGTCAAATCGCCGGTCAACCGCGTGTTAGCGGACATTTCGAGGGTCTAACACCTTCTCGGAATGTACATTGAACTTCGAACCCTTTTATTTTCAATGGATTTTATCTGTTTAAATCTTTTGAAAACATTAAGTTTTTTCTTGATTTTTAATAAAAAATTAAGTGGCGACTCTGTTCTTTTGAAAATTCGATTTCTCTTAAATCATAAGTTTGATCGATTTTTCGAAAACGTAGTCATTTTTCTTTTACATATATTTTCTTAATAAAACAGATATACTCCTCGTTATGAAAGTGACTCATATATATTCCTACTGTTGTACAAATGACTCATATCTACCCTTTTCCTCTGACGGAAGTGAAAAAAATTATTATAATTTAATTTTTTTATTATTTTTTATGGGGTGGGTATTTTTTTTAAAAAAAAATTCACATATATTTGGCGAGTAATGATGCATGTATTCAAAGGACAATCACTGAATACATGTAAATGATACATGTATCCAGAGGACGAAATATGGTATAGGAAGTAATATTTGAAACTATCGAAAATTCTAGTAATTATGACCTAAACTAGTGGGATTTATGTAGTTTGCTCATTCTCCTAACACATATTTTTTTTTAACTTTTTTGTTTCAACGACTAATTATACACAATACTCCATATATCATTGCATCTACCTAGTGTCTCAACAGCATTCGACGCGATCATATTTTAGAAAATTGGTGTGAGCTTTCATTTTTAATGAGCAATGTCCACTCAGGACCATGGTGTCGAGTAAGTCTCTGTTTCTCCCTTCATAGCATCATTTATTGTATCCATATATATACTTGCATAGTTTACTTTTTAAATTCAGGAAAATAATTACATATACTCGAAGATTTGGGCAATAACAGCATGAGATACGGCGTTCGTGTAGGTATGAAGAGATCTGAGTCATATGTGTATGATATCCAAAGTTCAATTGATGATCATCGTCATCTCACTAGCAAATCCTGTCGAGCTCTAATTTATAGGTATTATCTCCTCTTCTTCTTCTTCTTCTTCGCGTTTAATTTTGTCCTTCTTAATAAAATTTTACTTTGATAGTGGTGACCATGACATGACTATTTCTCATTTGAGCACTGAAGAATGGATAGACACTTTGAAATTGCCAATTGTAGATGATTGGGAGCCTTGGTTTAATTTGTTGATGATCAAGTAGCAGGGTTGGTTCCTTTTTTCTAAGTAATTACTCCGACTATTCAAAAATGTGTGTGACACTTGATGACATTTTTGAAGACTCAGAGCAATTTAACTCACATGGATCAATCCTTTTCTAATAACTACTTTGTTTATGTAGATACAAGGTGAAGTATTTACAAAATGATTATGAGTTGACATATGCAACTGTTAAGGTAACCACTATTCCCTATTGCAGCAATCCTAAACAAATATCATTGCATGACTAGAGTTGAAGCTACAATTTTAACCTGATCGGTGGAATATGAATTTTATAACGATGATTTCAAATGTTATTAATTGAGTTCTAAACTTAATATATGTACATATCTAATAAACTTATTAGTACTAATACACTATTTGAGCAAAAGTTATAATTGAATTTGACTGAACCTGCACTCGAGCTTCTAGCTCCACTCCTGATTGCATTTGCATCTTAATTGATTTACTTAGGGTGCGGGTCATACAGCTCCTGAATACAAGCCTTGACAATGCCTGCCTATGGTTGATAGGTGGTTTTCTGGTGACCCTCTTTAATTTCAACTTTTCAAGACGTAAATGTACTCATTTGTTTCTTTCCATCGACATAAGTAAGCGTGTGTGTTCTGTAATCTTGACATGTAAAATAAGTATGTATGAATTGAGGTCGACGTTATTTATATTTGTTTTTACTTTGTAGTATGAGAAGTTATGGAGAAATTTATTACTCCCTTTATCTCAGTTTATGTGACTTACTTTCCTTTTTTATCAGTCTAAAAAAGAATAACACATTTTTATATTAAATAACAATTTAATTACAAAATATCTATTGTACCCTCAATGAAATGATTTACGGCCACACAAATTTTTATCATTCATTTTAAACCACAAGTTTTAAAAGTCTTCATTTCTTTCTTAAACTCCGTACCGAGTCAAACTACCTCACATAAAATGGGACGGAGGGAGTACCTTTTTTTACGAATCATATGTTAGTTAATATGTATTAGTAAAATCCTTAGTACAACAATCTTGCAGAAATTAGTAACAACAAAGTTTAAAGCATGTTTTCAAAACAAGAAATTAAAATCAGTAAAGAAAAACAGGATGTACCAGTAAACAGCAACATTACTAATGAAAAGAAGAAGATCGAGTTGAATCCACAGTGTGTCTTTAAGGAAATTATTTCCCTCATGTATCCGAGGCTAAATGAATATATTCGCCATGATAGAATAATTTTACTCATCAGTGTATCGATACCAAAAAATGAGTGACTTTACTCAACCGTATATCAGTACAAAAAATAATGGTGTCAGCGAACCACTCAATGGAGCAAAAAGTACACTAGATTTATTTATGGAGAAGAAGAAAAAGTTCAGAAATTGAACAGTCATCTAATAAACGACGAAAAATTTAAATGAATCCGGTTCAGAGACTGTGTTTATCCGGTTCGAAAACATAACTTTTGTTATTATGTTATACTACTACTATACTAGTTACTAGTTAATAATAATTTAAAGGGAAAATGCATAAGTACCCCCCAGCCTATGCCCAAAATCCCTGAGATACACCTAACCTTTACTAAGGTCCTATTACCCCCCTGAACTTATTTTTTAGTTAATTGTTTACCACTTTTCGGCCTACGTGGCTGAGTCCGTGATTTCACCTATGTTAAGCGCGTGGGTGCAGCTTTTAGACGGCACTGACCAATAAAAATTGGTCATGTGTTAAAATAAACTTGGAAAAAATAAATATTAACTCTATTGTCTTCTTCTTTATTATTGTTCTTCACTAGTATACGTACCCGCGCGTTGCGCGGCTATATTTTAATTTAATAAAATATCAAATACTTCAAATATTTTTATATATTG